CTGTTTAACGGGGCTAGGGAAAATTCCTCCTCGCCATCCATTTCACACTTTGTCAGCATTGCAGAGGAAGCATTTTACAGATCCAACGCCAGACTTGCATCTCTCAAAGGAACACCTTCCCCCAGTGCCTCGTCCCCCTCCCCCACCAGTCAAAGAACAGATTGATTTTAAATATAATTTCAAATTTCATTTGACAGCAAGTGACAAACTTGGAATGTGCACAATACGTTTCTTTTTACTGTTGGATCAGTCCTTCTCAGCCCCCATTTCTAATTCAATCATGTTTATCAGAGGACAAGGCTAGCAGAATTAAAAAAAAAAAACAACTCATTTGGCCATGAATATATTTCGGCTGGACCCACTATTGCGGTTCAGCAATAGACTCCCTGTCTACTACATGGGAGACCTGGCATCAATTCTTAGACACAAATAATTACAACCATTGAGGCACCCAACAGCCGGGCCTTTGGATTTTGTCTCAGTGGTCCAAAGCAGGGATGGTAGGTCTGGGCAGCCTCCACTCCTCTATACTCCTGCCTAGGTGCACCCATCAAAGGTCCTGTTGACCTCTCATGCCTACACCGTGATACAGAAGGACCGAGAGTTGCCTATTATGTTCAGGCTGGAAGTTAGACCCTTTCTAAGCATCAATTGTAGGGGTGTAGTGTGGCCCAGGAAATACTCAACTAGAAAGGGCCTGTTAACCACATCTACATGAACAAAAGTGTTTGCTTTCCTGAGGATAAGTGGCAGTGGGACACCTCTGAACCATACAAAAAGAGGGTTGGCAGGGACCTCAGGAGGTCACATCTAGTCCAACCCCCTGCTCCAAGCAGAACCAGCCCCAACTACATCATCCCAGCCAAGGCTTTGTCTACCCGCGTCTTAAAAACCTCCAAGGATGGAGATTGCACCACCTCTCTGGGGAGCCTGTTTCAGTGTTTTATTACCCTCCTAGTCAGAAAATTCATCCTAATAGCCAACCTCAAATTTTCTTGCTGCAGCTTGAGCCCATTGCTCCTTGCCCTGCTATCTGCCTCCACTGAGAACAGTCCAGCTCCATCCTCTTTGCAGCCCCCCTGCAGGGAGTTGAAGGCTGCTATTCAGTCCCCCTTGGTCTCCTCCTTGCTAGACTAAATAAGCCCAGTTCTCTCAGTCTTTCCTCATAAGTCATGAGGAAAGACTGAGAGCCCCCGAAACATTTTTGTTGCCCATGGCTGTAGTCTCTCCAATTTGTCTCCACCCTTTCTGCAGTGCAGGGCCCACAACTGGACACAGGACTCCAGATGTGGCCTCCCCAGTGCAGCACTTCCCTCGACCTGCTGGCAACGCTCCTACCAATACAAAGACACCTACCTTGTGCTGCTATTCATTTAAGATCTCTCTCAACTATGCAGTTGGTCCAAGAAAAGATAAGGCCCAAACACATTCTGGCTTGTCTAACTATCAAAGCAGTGAGGTTTTGGAATAACCTTCTCACAGGAAAGGTGCAGTCAGGCAAAATAACTAGGTTTTAAAGAGGAAGTCAATTGGTTTGTGAAAATAATTCTGTGACATGGCTGACTGCAAATGACTATCAGTGGAGTTGACTCGAACGGATGTCCATACTATCCAGCCAGCTTGGATCATCACTTTTTTTTTTAAAAAAGGTGGACATGACAAATGAAGTTTCAGGGAAAACTGAGAAACCATCATGCCATGGATCAGCAACTCATCTCTGTACACACCAAGCAAACCTCGCTCCATACAAAACAAAAACAAAACAAAAATACCTTGTTTTTTTCCTGCTTGGTAACTGGTTTGAGATGCTTCTTTCTTCTCCAATCTATTGTTATTGCTTTACAGTCTGCTTTACCAAGCTGTTCTCCCCAACATGCTTTGGAAGTTAAGAGTAGTTTTAACATCAGCTACAGACAAAGAAGATCTTGGATCAGACAAGGTAGTTATCTTCAAACCTCAATTTGCAAATGCATACTTTGAGGAAAGATACAGCTTTTCTTATATAGCAACTTGTATACAAAGCATTTGGATTAAAAGTACTTTTACTGTGCAGTTCAAAACTGCTGCCTTGAGCCTTACTGCCCTTTAGCTTTACTGGTTGTCTGAGAAGCCCCTACACCAGGAAAAGCATTTATGGTTTCAGGGGAGACAGGGAAGTTCAGCTAGCCGTAACCCTATCACCAGCTTCATCAACACCTCAAATCACAACAAAGAAATGAACACTGATTTTCATTACTGTAGAAATGTAATGATATATAATCAAACAATGAAATAAGGAACATGGAATACATACCGGGTTATACGGAATACAGACTGAAATTCAATGCCCCATCGACTCATTTTTCATTAAGGTGGCTAAGGCCTCGAATACATCGCTCAAATAAATCTTGCAACCCATTTACGTTATTATGGAAAAATATTAAACTTAAGAGGGAAAATTTGTAGATAATCATTGAACACAGAGCCATTTTTCAACATGACCATCTCACTGGTGACAAGGGTCAGTACGAGGGTCAGTCAGGAAGTTATGAATCCTAATTTCCATCATCTCTTAAGTCAGTCTTGCACATGGACAATATTCTTCTCGACTTCTTGGGTATGGGGGTCATAGTATATTCACCAGTTTATACCAAGGTCCTGAAGAACTGGAACATCACAGGCAGAGATCACCCCAACAGACGTGTTTGGGGAACTGCTTTTGCATGACAAGGCTGGTCGACACCTTAAGTTGGGCACCCCGAAGGCACAAGGCAGTCTCAGTGGTTGGAGGGACTGTGTTGCCCCACTGTCTCCACAGCCCAGAGGATGAAAGACAGACTATGAGGGCAAAGTTTTTGGGATGGCAGCACAGTGATGGAGGTTGCGACACTGGCTGCACAACAGGGATCGTTCAAGGTTGGGATACGGGTCCGTGTTCACCACTGGAGGAAAAAGAAGCCATCGATGGAGAAGGCCATGTTGGAAAGGAGCGGTGTGCATGTTCAGGGAGGATGTACACCTTTGCCATGCAGGTTTAATATTTTTCAATACTTGGCTGAGAAAAAAGAAGGGAGGCATTATTTTGACCAACTCTCAAACACAAACCAGAGGAGTAGGATTTAGACATAAAATGAACATACTTTCTCCTATTTGCCCATTATAAGTATTTTGAGATAAACATTAGTCACTACATGCATTTGCTTCTTCTGAATAAAATCATTCTACTGCCGAGTCACACGATACATCTCATGCTTTGAAGAGACCTTCATTATCTTTAAAAGCGTGCAACTAGTTCAGACACAAACTTGTATAGATATTTAAAATATACAATCATTTCAGTCTTATCCAGATAATGAAAAAGTTTTGCACGAAGTCTAACATGAGAGTAGCAGCCTGATCCTTGAGTGATCTTCACACAAAGCTAGAAAGCGGAAGTTAAGGATGTACACATGGTAATTTATGTAACTAGTGGTCTGGTGGCCATGTCTCACATTTTAGTTTGACTATTCCCGAAAGGGTAGATATTATTATTAACAACAACAATATCAGTATATCTAAGTTTTAAAAGCCCACTAAATGCCTAAATATTAAATTTAATCAGAGGAACAGAAATTAAATGCAACAGATGGATATTGTTTATTGGTTGTCAGCATCACATCTGAATTACAGGTGTAAAAACAAAAACAAAACAAAAATCACAGACTGCAAGTATAAACATGTAAAACAATACAAAAATAAATGGAAAGGTAGATTTTATATTTACTGAATCAAGTTGTGTAATAAATACAATAATAAGCAAAAAAGCTTCAATCACACAATTCAGTTTAACTGAAGTTACAGTAGTGTTTGTAAATACAACGTTTTCAACTTAACAAGTTGCAAATATTAAAGCATTGACAACTAGTATAAAAAAGTGAATTTTGGCACACTGTAAAGTGAGATGTGTTATATTTGACAATTGTGTAAAAACGAAGCAATTTCTCACTAGCCTTTTGAGGTACATTTTTAACAATCTAAAATTAGATTAACATTGTAGTTCTAACAAATCACAGTTTATGATTTACTCTACTAGTTACAATTTTCCCTTTTAAGAACACCAACAAGGTATTCCAGAGCTTATATCTGTGCAAATTCAGAAAAAAAAATTCTCCATAAAAAAAACAACAACAACTTATTAAGGAACTTTTAATAGCAACTTCAATTCTCCCTGCAACCTCTGTAGCTAAAGACAAGGTGTAAAACTTGGAATAGCAACAAATTCCACCGTTTTACAAAGAAATATTCCTAGATCACAGTTCAATTCAAGTTGCAAGCATTCCTTTTGTAAGTTTGTCACATTTCCTCCCCTATAACTTCAGTAACTTCTGATCACACTCATTCTCAGTAAGGGAAAAAAAAACAACCCCACAAGCTGCTAACATTAAAAGGTCAGCAAAGCATGTAAACTCCTTGAGGACTCTTAGCACTTCATCACAATGCCAGAAATGCCCAGACAAAAAACTTATTGTTTTCAATTTTCAGTATACAGTACAAATAATAAGGAACAGTGTAATGGCACTTCTTAATGTATCTGAAGGTTTGCAGCTTACATAGAGACGGTGCTTTTTTCACTTTTACAGTAGTAAAAAATTTCAAAAAACTAGATACTTTAAGTAACCCAATTCCACTCTCAACTTCAAGAGAGCAATAAAAACCAGATTACCCTATAACTGGGGTTCAGTATGGTATTTACATTTCTGACATGAATACAAAAGTTATGTTCTTCCCCTAAAAAACGTGATGCTGACCGTCAGAAGTAACTCCAAAATGCTTCAGCAACTGTTATTAAAATAATCAGCAGCATCAAATATTTAGACATTTTAGTCCTCAAAGAGTTTTCCCCCCCCCCCCCCT